CAACCACAGAGCTGGACTTCTCCCTGAGGGACTGGGGCACCTTCTCCCCACCCACGTCCTCAATGGCAGCTGGCAGATTGAGAGAAGCCAAGATGGAGTTCAGCAGCTGTGTGCTCTCCCGGAGCTTGCCAATCTCTGAGGACACCAGCTCCTGCTTGCGGGTGTCATAGGCCACAAGGGCCTGCTGCACCGAGACAGGAACGAGAGTCTCAAACAGGTCGGTGAAGGTGGTGCTGAATCTCTCTGGCAAGGGGGTGGGCTTAGCTAGGGCTGCTTTGGCAATGGCACTCAATGTCTTCACCTGTAAAGAGTTAAAAGACACTGAAGACATTATTGCTTTAGGGTTATTTACTAAATCCCAAAGATTCCGGCCTGTGAGTTATTTATCAAAAGCATTAATGCAATTTACATTTACCTGCACTTTTATATAGCAAGAGCAAAGTAGAAAGTATAATTTCAAAGGAAAATAAAACAGCAAGGGGCATAGGTACCTTATCCCAAGATAATCATTTTCGATTTGTATATGATAATCAAGAATAAACCATTCAATAAATATCATTATTAAAAAAAAAACATTTACAGTGGAAAAAGATATGCCACAATAAACAAAAAGTACAAATAGTGAAATTATTTTTCAAAAGACATAATACTCACATCAGGAACTCTTTCATGGTAAATGAAATCATTGTCCTTCACCGCTTCGTCCAGGCAATTCTTGGCCCGCCCCAGGTTGTCTGCAAACATGGTTAAGTCTCCTGATCGTGCCTGTGCTGCCTTGAACATCTCCAAGCCTTTGTTCAGACGTGCAATCTCCTCACCAACTGATTTGTCATTATTGCACACCTACAAAGGGATTTTATCATCAGTCATCAACTTGCAGAATGAAATACAATAATATGAAAAATATGACAATGCTAATAATGAATGTAATAATCATTTATACCAGCACATTCGTATAAGCTAATTACTTTGATCTCCTAAGCAAGTTTACCAGTGACTTGCCTCAGGATAGGAAAATCTCCAGAAGTCTTTGTCAACTTGCCTGTCTGTCTGTGTGTTTGACATTTACAGTCCATTTATCTTGTTTCAATTTCTCTATTACTGTTACAGTCTCTGCCTGTCTGTCCATCTATTTCACCTCAATTTCTGTATTCCTGGTACTGTCTTGCCTGTCTATCCATCTATATATCTGTCCATTTATCTTTTCTATATTTCTCTATTACCTTAAAATCTCAAAATTGTACAAGCTTCACTTTCCAACCTTTCTCTCATCTCAATCCTACAAACTGTCCTTTTCCCAAACAACCCCCCGCCCCCATAATTCCTATGACAACACACTCCCTGAAAGAACTTACTCTGCTCTGATGGTATTCTGCAAGGCCCGCATACCCCGCCTGCTTGCCAGAGATGCGAGGGATCCACTCACGGTCCCAGAGCTGCTTGATGCTCTCTCTCTGGAACAGCTTTAGGGTTTCGCCATACATGTCCTCGCACTGGGCACAGAGCTTGGCAATGATGGCGTCCTTCTTCCGTCCTTGAGAATAAGTTTGGATTTAGGCAAAATATATAAATGAGGATGATCTATATTCAAAATAATAAAACAGAACTAAAAGTGACTTAAAAACCAAACTATAAGTAAAAACAACTATCAAACAGCCATAAAAACAATGTCATCTTAATGTGAACACACATGACTACCTATGCACAAAGGCACACGAGCATGGCACGTACACATAGGGATGGGCGAAGACTCGAACGTAGAGGAACAAACACACTGGCAGGCAGACAGACGGACCCACCCAACTACTCATCCACTCGCCCATCTACCCACTCGCTCACTCTATCAAAAAGAGGCAAAAAACAGGAACCTATCCCCAAAGCTCACCCCTGATAGCATGAACGGTGATGACCTCCTGCGCCTGGGCCAGCATGAGGGAGGCGAGGGCTGACAGGGTCTCGGGCTGCAGGTCTGGGGTGGGGTCCTGCTGCAGAGCCGAGTACACGACCGTCTTCAGGTGCGAGAAGATTCCGGAAGCACTCTGGAAGATGAAGAGACAAGGATTTATTTGGTTTCCCCTTTTTTCTTTTTGTGAGAAAATATGTATAGTAGCATAATAAGGGTAATGATAATAAAAATAACAATAAAAATCTTAACAGTAATAAATAAAACTAATACAGCAAATAAAAAATAATGACAATAGCAATAATAGTAATAAAAATAATAAAAGCAATGATAATAGTAATGAAAATAGTAATAAAAGTAACAATAGTAATAAAAATAGTAATAAAAGTAACAATAGTAATATTAATAACAACAAAATAAACAAACTATAATAACAATAATAATCACAACGATAACAGAGCAACAAGCACCATAATCTTAAATAAACTCAATCAACAATTAATAAATAAATAAATAAATATGAAGCAAAAAAAAAAAAGTGAAGAAATAAGAAACATTTGATTCCATTGCCAAACCTCACCTGGAAGAGCTTGGCACTCAGCTTCATCTCCTCCTCGGAGTCTGCGTTCTTGGCTGCCGCGACCTGGCTCTGCATTGCCGCAATGTTGAAGAGCACGCACACCTTTTCGTAGGAGAGGGATGAAACGGCTGCAAGTAGGGGAGAACAAGAGTTAATCTATATAGAGATGTGTGTGTGTGTGTGTGTGTGTGTGTGTGTGTGTGTGTGTGTGTGTGTGTGTGTGTGTGTGTGTGTGTGTGTGTGTGTGTGTGTTTGTGTGAGTGTGGAGGAGAGGAGGGAGGAGAAGAGGAAAATGAGGAGGAGGTGGAGAAGAAAGGGGAGACAGAGGAGGAGGAGGAGAAAGGAGAAAGAGAGAGGAAGAGAAAGAGGAGAAGAGAGAGGAAAGAGAGAGAAGAAGAGAGGAGGAAGAGGAGGGAGGAGGAGGGAGAGGAGGAGAGGAAGAGGAGGAGAAAGGAAAAGAGGATTAGAGAGTAGGAGAGAAGAAGAGGAGAAGAGAAAGAGAAGAGAAGAGGAGGAGAGGAGGAGGAGGAGGAGGAGAAAGAGGAGGAGAGGAGGAAGAAGAAGAGGAGGAGGAAAGAGAGCAAGAGGAAGAGGAGGAAGAGAAAAAAGGGAGAAAGAGGAGAGCAAGAGGAAAAGATTAGGATTAGGATTAGGAGGAGGAGGAGGAGGAGGAGAGAAAAAAGGCAGAGGAAGAAGAGAATGAAAAGGGAGGATGAAGAAGAGGCATGAGAGAAGGAAAATAAGCAGGAGTTGAAAAAGGAAAAGGGAAAGATAGATGAAATGGCAGAGGAAATGGAAGAGGCAAGAAATAAGAAGAGTAGAACAAGGAGTTAAAAAGCGCATAATGAAAGCTAAATTTGAGGAAGAGGAAAAAAAGTCCAAGAATACTAAAACAACAAAAACAAACAAATGAAAAAACTGTTCCTCGACACTTACTAAGACTAATTCTTCCTCCGAAGATGGATCCCTTGTCGAACGCATCTTTCCACTTGAATGGGATCTGGATCTCTGAAGCAGGGATCTTCGACTCCAAGGCCACTATCTGATCATAATACCTGTGAGAGAGAGAGTAAAAAGTTATGTACTCATTTCCTGTCAACCTTTTCCTAGTTTAGAATCATCATTTACTTTCTTCTTCTATAGTGTTGACATATCTACCATAATTATTTTTCTACCAATTAAAAATTAGCCTATCAATTATGCTTTCATATAAATATAAAATATGAAAACACACTTCAATCAAAACACTCAAATCTATGACAATAATTGCTTGTATAACTCATCCCCACTGGCAGTCAGAATCATAAGAGAAAGGTAACAAAGAAAATAATACACTCAGATACCCTCAAATTGGTACATCACACTATTACCTTTTCTCATTTAATATGACAAATATATCGCTTGTGCAATTTTAGTTAGATGTTAAAAATATGGAGAAGCAGGATATAGTAAATCACATACTGCAACCATTCATCTTGTGAGTTCTAATTTTTCATAAACACCCTCTGTACTTTAGAAAAATAACACCTGTGATGGGCACACGTTTACAAAAACAAGATAAGAGAAGCTTAACCCATTCACATCGGCATATTTTGAAGCTAAAAATAAAAGATTCCAGGCGGCTACAAAATTGGCGGGCAGAGCTTCCCTGGAGTCTGTACGCCCGCCCGCCGCGGCCCACTGTTGCGTCGAAGCGCAAGCCCCGATACAGCGTCACACTGGTAGGACGCCCGGCAATGTTTATTTTTTCAGGTGTCTCATATATGGGACACCCGTCGTTATTGGGTTAAAAAAGATTTCAAATTTTCTTACAAAGAAATGAGTATGATGGCAATTTAGCAATATATATATATATATATATATATATATATATATATATATATATATATATATATATATATATATATATATATATACACATATAAACAAAGGGCTACAGCCTTATAATCCTATATGTAATACACTAAACATTCATGGGCAGGATTGGATTTTGATATTTTCAGTCATTCATCAGCTTTCTTGGTGTCTGCTGTCCTGGACCCGAGACAGACAAAGATGACAAAAAGTAGGCCTGCTTGCTATAATGATTTCTGATGGCCACTGCAGTAGGCCTAGATAATGAAGCTAGAAGTGAAGTGCCTCAGCAAGTGTACAATATAATTACTCCTAGATGCTGTCTCTCACACCTGTTTCCCTGATAAAAAAAATGGTTATGCAAGGCAGCTGAATCCCTCCTGATACTCTGACCAGGTATGTGTAAATCAAACAACACGAGGAAGAAATAGCAAACATGCAATTATGCCCAAGGTCTTTTCGCTCTAGTGCTTCTTAAGGGCATCATTAAAATGGACTTTATCGTCATAATTCTTTTCATGCAATCAAGATAATTTGCACCAATTTCCTTAATTCAACACCACTCAGGTTTCTGGCTAATTACTCCTTACAAAGATAATAAAAAGGTCATACCATCCCTACAGGCATAAACGGTAACATGCTAATGACAATTTCACTAGATAATACCAACTTGCAAAATCTCCCCACTAGTCATTACAATTAAACAATAGCACAATATGAAAGTATGTCAGATAAAATAAATACCATTACTTAATATAACAACTCTAATTTGCTTTAATTACCCATAATACTGAAATAGTCATTAATCTTAAAATACCCTCCTTTTCAAGTCAACACAAAGACACTGAATATGATATTTAAAAAAAAACTACACATAACACCCTAAATACCAAGCCAGTGATAACTCAAATATCACATCCTCTACACAGTAAAAAAAAAAAAAAAAAAGATCACCATGGTAAACTGCATATAACAATTCTTTAACATCAAAACAACCCATTTAAACCATAATAACACATAACATAACAATTTCTCAAATCTCTCAACTTCCGCAATGTTCAAACCCTCAAAATGATATTAAAGTTCCCTGGAAAATCTACAAGAAACATCTTCATTAACACCTGATTATGAGGTCACTTTTAGTTTTGTTAACAAGATGTTATTGCTATTATTATGGGATATTATATACAATGTTAAGCTGAAGTTAGGCTTGTTATATGTAGTGTCACCAGGGTCCAAATTTAGGAGAGGGTAATTACTTAAAACCAATAACATTATGGGAAGCTATAGATAATAACTCAATATCATGTCATAATTCCTAATTCCTCCCTCAAAATTCCCAATTCCTTCCCCAAAATTCCTAATTCCTCCCTCAAAATTTCTAAATTCCTACCTCATAATTCCTGAATTCTTACTGCATAATTCCCGAATTCCTCCCATATAATTTACTGCAGATTATTCATATCAATACAACACTGTCTTCAACTGCATACCAGCGTTAGGCATCATTTCCAAACTTACACAGTAATAACAACACCAAGGAAAGCCCTACATAACAAAATTCAAAATAACAACCTCATAATTCCCAATGCCTCTCTCCTTCATTCATAATTCCCAAACAATCCACATCCCTCATAATTCCATAATCCTCCCTCCCTCCCAATTCCAAAGTCCTTCCTCGAAATTCCCATAGACCCCCTCTCCTTCCCTCATAATACCCCATTCTACCCATCCCTCCCAATTCCCAAACACCACCTGTCCCTCCCAATTCCCAAATTCCTACCCACACAATTCTCAATTATCCACCTACCTTTACAATTCCCAAATCACCGCCTTCCCTCCCAATTCCCAAATCTAAGGCATTTCCACCCGCATAATTCCCCCAAGAGATCCCCTCGTTCTTTCACAATACCCAAATCTAAGGTATTCCCTCCTAATTCCCAAATTCCCACCTGCATAATCCGCCCTTCCCTACCAATACCCGATTCCCCCCTTCCCTCACAATTCCCACATTCCCACCCCCATAATTCCCTCCCAAAAGACCCCCCTAGCCCTCCCCTCCTTCCCTCCTCCACCGGCTGGGCCCCAACCCCTCCCTCCGTCCCTCCGGCACCACCAGGAGCAGCACCCACCTGTAGACGACGTCGAGGGAGGACTCATGGCACTCTAGGTTCTTGGCGACGGCGTTGGTCCTCAATTTAGCGAGCTCGTTGATGGCCCCGATGTAACTCTCCTGCTCGGCCGTCTGGTACCTCGAAGTAATAAGGTTCTTGAGCGGTTTCAGGATCTCGATGTCCGACGCCTTCTTTTGAGGCACGCCGAACGTCTCTAGCGTGGCTGACATCTTGTATTAATGGCGTTTTACTTGTGTTTTGGGTCGTTCTTGCTTCCGTCGGTGTGTGAGGGGGAGGGAGGTCGTGGTTCCTTGGTGATCTTCCCCCTATTTCTTGTGGGTTGTTTTGCTTTCGTGTTTTTCTTCTTCTCGGGTCGAGTCTCTTTCATGTGAGAGTGACGTCACGCCTAAACAAATGGGGGTAGACTCGTTTTATTTGAAGGTCGGTTGGCCAGGTAGGGGTATTTGGGGTATTTTAAGTTTTTTTAAGGGTGTTTAAGGGAATTTATGGGGTTGGTAGTGTTGGATGATAATGGGGTATTTCGTTGTATCGTTGTTTTTGTGAATTTTTAAAGACAGGTTTTGTTGAGAGATTCGGTGTGAATCGTAACTGCCATTTTTAATGTTTTCGATTCTCTTTTAAAGGGAGTCGGATTATTGTTGTGTTCTAACGATTATATTTATTTTTCCTCTAATTTTCACTTAAATAATCAATTACATATAGAAAGAATCACAACTTTCCTTGGTAGATATGTGAAGGCACCGGCTAGCCCACGAGCTTCGGGTTTTCTGTGACTAACGTATGAAGTCATTTCCGTTTAAAGATCATTTCTTCATTCCCTTTGATAAATCCTGGTTTAGGGTCATGGGTGGGTGAGTCAGCTAATGAATGGGGTGTTATTTGCATCAGGTAAACCGGCCATCGCGTCAGAACGTTATTTACCGGTTTAATTCATGCCTTACATACCTATTCCTGTATCCCCATTTCTATCGCTTTGTCTCGGCTTATCACAGGATATAGCCTATTACATCATGAAATGTCAGAAAATATATATATTTCTCTACATATATGAGATTATTTATGCGAAATCATTCTATTTTTTCCCATCTAGCTTGCTTTGTTCACATCTAGCTGTGGTTTATGGCATATCAGAGATAAAATGATTATATTTTATTGCTTTTTTAACATTCCCGATAAGATAGATATCGCATAGTTTGCCCAACATCCATCTACTCTTTAGCACACACTCGACGGAGAAATTAACATGGTGTAAAGCAGCAACTCCTGTTTATTCTCTTTAAAAAAAAAAAAATCTTAAAACGTGATGATCTGGCAAGTTCTGGAGGTTCAATTTAGCGGTCATTGCTGTCTGACCTTGAGGTGGACTATGATTTTTTTTTGTTTCTCTCTCTTGTATTTCTTTTTTTTATTGTTTGCTGTACCTGTGTTTCTTGTCTGTCTCTGTTAAAGTCTGTTCGATTGTCTCTGTCTGTCTGTTTAACTATGTGTATGTGTCTGTCTCTCTCTTTCTGTCTGTCTCTGTCTCTGTCTGTCTGTCTCTCTCTCTCTCTCTCTCTCTCTCTCTCTCTCTCTCTCTCTCTCTCTCTCTCTCTCTCTCCTCTCTCTCTCTCTCTCTCTCTCTCTCTCTCCTCACTCCCCCCCCTTCATTCTCCTACCTCTCTTCGTCCCCCCCTCCCTCTCCCTCTTCCTCTCCTCTCCGTCTCCTCTCCTCTCCCATTTCCCTCCTTCTTCTCTCTCTCTCTCTCTCTCCTCTCTCTCTCTCTCTCTCTCTCTCTCTCTCTCTCTCTCTCTCTCTCTCTCTCTCTCTCTCTCTCTCTCTCTCTCTCACTCTCTTCACTCCTCTCCATCTCTCTCTCTCTCTCTCTCTCTCTCTCTCTCTCTCTCTCTCTCTCTCTCTCTCTCTCTCTCTCTCTCTCTCTCTCTCTCTCTCTCTCTCTCTCTCTGACCTTTTACTCGTTGTAGTTGGAAGGATGTGGTTTTAGTCTGTGAAATATACTGTTTTGTCCGCCAACCACACGTCAACAGACACACATACACACATACGAAGTTGTATTCACACGTCCACACACACGTACTCACACGTACGTTCACGTACTCGTTCACAATACATGTTTATAAATACACGTACACGGACATGTAGTCCACTTCGCACCCACACACAGGTACACGTGTAACTGTGGAGGGTATACGGGGGTGGGGGTGGGGTGGGGGGCTAGGGTTCTTACCTTGAAAAATTATGATGATGGTAATGATGGTGAGGAGGAGAAGGAGGAGGATAAAGATGATGATAACGAGGAGGAGGAGGAGGTGATGATGATGATAATGATAATGATGGTGATGAGGCTAATGATGATAATAATGAGGAGGAGAATAAAGATGATGATAGTGATGAGGAAGATGATGATTATGATGATGATGAGGATAAAGATGATAATAATGATGATGCTGATGATGATGATGATGAGGATAAAGATACACACACACGCGCGCCACACACACACACACATACACACACACACACACACACACACACACACACACTCACTCACTCACACACACACACACACACACTCACTCACACACACTCACTACACTCACTCACTCACTCACTCACACTCACACACACACACACACACACACACACACACACACACACACACACACAACACACACACACACACACACACACACACACACACACATTCAGCAGACTTACAAACACGAATATCTTAAACAAATTAAGAAAGGAAAACATTAAGAGAAATATAAAATAGAAAATAATAACAAAATAATAAATAAAACGAGGAAAGTTCTAGAAGTCCAATCTACAAGGAAGTAGGAGAAAAGTGCAAGTCATTCTGAGGTGCTTGTTTACAAAATTTCGTTCCGTTTGTTGTCAAGGAAAATCTGAAGAAATAATTAATATTTTTTTTTTCTCTACTATTACTAGTACTACTGGAAGCACTTGTAACCGTGTTTTGATATCACTATTACTGTTATCATTATCAGTTACCGTTGTTGCTTTCATTGTTGTTGTGGGCGCGTTTTATTGTTACTGTCACTATTATTATCATCATTGTTATTATTATTATTATTATATTATCGTCATTATTAATATCCTTATTATTGTAATGATTATTGTCGTTGTTGTTGTTGGTATTATATTATTATTATTATTATTATTATTATTATTATTATTATTATTATTATTATTATTATTATTATTATTATTATTATCATCATCATTATTATTATCATTATTATTATCCTCTCATCAATATTCTCATTATTATTATTATCATTATCATATATATATATATATATATATATATATATATATATATATATAATTGCATCCAATAAATTAAAAACATTTGGTCCAATAAATTTTCATAATACGGTCATGCACTCTCACGGAAATAAATACATATCTATCCGTCTACACATTATCTATCGGACAGATGGATAAATGTATATGCATCAGATAGACAGATATGCCTTTATTTATGTGTATATGCATGCTCGTAT